AGGGGGGAATGAAGGCCCCCACCAGTAAGATGGCGAACTTCCGGCTTCTCTTCGGGGGTCCTCGGTTCCGCCAGCACCACCTGAAGCCCAATCACCTCTCGCCCCCCTCCCAATCCCAGCACCTAGCCAATAGCCACCAGCCCCATAGAAGTAACACCACAATCACCCCATGCCCCTTCCTATATAACCCAGCACCTTTCCCTAATAAAGCGGAATTCTCCGGTGAATTGCTGTGTGTCGCTCCTTTCCTTTCAGTTAGGAAAGTTTAGCTTTTAGTTCTTTTAATATTAAGATCTCATTTTCTTAAATACTCCGACAACTCACTGAGACTTTAAACATGAGAAACTGCTTTGATAAAACAATTGGAGAACCCTTTGCAATCTTTCAACATTAAGAGCAGACTAACAGTTAAGAAAACTTTCTTTTTAACTGAAAACAAAATTCTAATTTTGCTGTGTACTTGATATTGAGACTTATTTGCTTTAATTTCACACATCATGACCATATTAAATTCTTTCACAAACTTTCTACAACCTTTTTTACATTCGGTGTTCTCCCTCTAAATAAACAGCTGTACTTTAGAACAAAGTTACTTTCTTTTATCAAAAGACACATTCTTTAGCATGTAGCAATGTTTTCCTTATTACTTTAAGTAATTTTATTTAGAACTTAAAACTATTAGGTACCGTGATTTTCAGGGAACACTGAGATGTAGGCTATTGTAAACTGTTACACTAGCATTCTTTAGATTGACAAATTTATGAACACATTTTATAATTTTTGGAAACGTGTGCTTTGCAGCACAATCTTACTAAGCACAGCATGTGTCTAAACTTTGCAAAACTTCAAGATTTTAGGTTACCACAAAGATTCTCAGGCTGTTTGTAGGTATACACACTGTAACACACTATTATTTTTAAGATGTTTACTTGCTACACTTAGTTTATTCATTCCCAACAACTATATTTTACTCTCATTAGACAAAGCTACCCTTCACTTTAAGCATTTCTCTTTGAAAGATTTAACAGATAATATCAACTTAAATGACTTTAGGTAAACTTAGGCAGCTAATAACCATAAGGACATGTCTATTTCAGTTCTTAAATTAGCATTAATGAGGTAGAAAAATATTTTTCTTTTACACACTTAGACACACAAACATACAGATTGAGATGTAATGATACAGTGAGAGGACAGACAGAGCTCCTGGCTTGAGCCAGGAGGGCACAAGAGAGCCCATGGTGGTGCATTGTCTAGGCGGTTTTATGGACAGTTGAGGATATTTGGGAACGTGAAAAAAGTTTAGGGGTGTGGACTTTAAGGCAAGTAGTAGGTGTTTAGGATTGCAGGGGAGAGAGAGAGAGAGAGCTTGGTTTGGAGGTAGGAGAAAGCCTGAATACATGGGATCTCTTTCCATTTGCCCATGTGCTCACAAAAGTTGTATAAGTCGCAGAGAATTTTAGGATCTTAAGAGCCATTTGGGGGCCATTTAGACTGATTGTCCAAGGGATATTGTGGCCAGATCTCATTACAGTAGCGAACAGGTCTGAGGTCTGGAGTGAGGTGGAGGGGCTTTAGATTATTGAGTAAGCACCCTGACGGTGAATTTGTGGGAATGAGGGGCCAGATCCCATGGGGGGAACGGAGACTGTTCAGAAGTTGCTGAGGCATCTGTGAACGATTGAGAAGGTCACAGTTAGGGGGTCGTCACGACCTCTAACTGCGGGGTCGAAGCAAAAACACCAAGGAGGCTCGGTACCTGGTACCAGGAGTTTACTAGTAGAGTAGATACGTAGATAAAGGGAGACCGGGCCTCAGTGGATGAGGATTCTCACCATGGGGAGGCAGAGAAGGGTCGACTATGGGGATCAACTATGACTGTGAAAGTTGTGGTTGGGGGTGCCCCTGTCCCAGAGGAGCCCTTGGGGGTGCCGGGCACTCAACAGTCACTTCCCAGGTTCCAAAGGGACATTTAAGTCAACCATGAAGGGGAGACTTACCAAATTGAAGGCCGGTATCGGGCGAGAAGACAAGCGACCAGGGAAATGGATGGTGAGCCCGTGGAGGAGGATCAGGCAGTGAGGGTTCCCAGAGCAGCTCAGGTTCCTGGAGGAAGAGCAAAGTCAATGGGAGAGCCTCATCTGAGTCATGGCACCAATGAAAGGGTATCTCACCGTGACCCTCCTTACCCACCTTACCCAGGATGACTCAGGAGACACAGGCCCATGCAAGAGATTTTATTATCTGAAAGAGAAAGTGGCTACCCCAGAGGGAGGGGGGGAGGGAGACAAAGAGGGAGAGGGGGGCAGGGGAAAGGGAGGGGGAGGGGAGGGGAGGTGGAGGGGGACAGGGAGAGGGAGAGAGTGAGAGCAGGGGGACAGAGAGACAAAGAGAGAGAGGGCAGCAGTGTGGTGCAGAGCGTTGTGCCTTTCATTGTGGCAGATCCGCTGGGCCTTTTGCCTTGGGGGAGGGTTGGGATATTTAGGGATAAGGTGGGGTAAACCCAGGCATAATTCTCAACCGGCTTATGTGATTAGGACCATGGTGCAAATGGAGGATGAATTGCTTTTGATGCTGGGTTTCTTGTTCATAAAGCCGAAGAATGAGCTTAACAGTCAAGGTAGGAGAGCAAGGTACAGGCTTTTATTTAGAGATAAAGTGAAAGAACACAGCTCCGGGCTTACGCCAAGGAGGGGACTAGAGTCCATGGTGGTGCGTTGTCTAGGGTATTTATAGGCAGTTGAGAGACCAAGTGTTAGGGAGGTGGATCCACCAGATGATCTCAAAGTGTTTATTTTTAAAGAGACACTAAGTTTCTTATCAGTTTTTCAGACTATTTTGCGGAGTTAACATAAGAAATTTCCTGTTTTGATCCTTTCTCAGAATAGCAGTTTCTTGGTTTGGGAGCACATCAGTCAAGGCTGCTTGCTTTGCTTTCAAGGTGAGCTGAGTTACTGACTTGATTAGGGCTGGAGGAGGAAAAGCAGCATCTGGGTATAGTTAAAGATAAACTGGACCTCTTGGCAGACTAAAGTAAATTTTACAATAGCCTCATTTAATTGATACAAACAAGACATGGGCTATGCTGAGGTATTTTCTTATCTGGGGAATGTTCAAACATTCCATGCCAGGTTATTCCTGGCTTTTTAGTTTTACCTAATCTTCACTGAAGAATGCTTATATTCCTAGTTTGATATTTTACTTTACAGAATTAATGTGACTCTGTCTTTGTTTAATTATTTAATATGGAGTTTTGGTAGGGGTCTTTTTCTGGAGGCCCTCACCCTACTCTGACTACACCCACGGTCCCTGTCTATTTTCTTATATTATGTTCCTTATCACTTCTTTACTTTCTAGTTTTAGCACTTATTGATGATTCTTGCCTAAACCAATTTTTTTGATAACTCACCTATTACAAAATTTACTATTTTAAGATGTGCAATTCAGTGGTTTTCGGTATACTCACAATGTTGTGCAACTGTCACCATTATCTAATCCCAAAACATCTTCACTAGCCCTAAACGAAACTCTGCACCCCTTGGCGGTCATTTCCCTTTCCTACACTCCCTTCAGCCTCTGGAAACCAGCAGTCTTGCTGACTCTACAGACTTGACTATTTCATACATTTGGTACAAATGGAATCATACAGTACGTGGTCCTACATATATGGCTTCTTTCACTTAAGGTAATGTTTTCAAGGCGCATGCATATGGTAGTTTTGCTCAGTACTTCTTCTATTTGCCTAAATCAATTATTACGATTCTTGAAAAATGACGATATTCGCACATCGTTCCCTACGCACTTATCAGGCAACATTACCTGTACCATCCTTTTCCAGAAAGCTCTGTAAAGAAGCCTGCCCAGCAAGGCTGACTGCCCCACACGAAGCAACACGGCCGGAGTCATTCCAGACCCCAGGGAAAAGGCCTGCGAGAGTCGCCCGGGGTTACAGGATACTCCTCGCGCGCCCCGAGGCCCCGCCCCTCCAGGCGCCCCGCCGCAGCGGCCGGCGGGAGGAAGTGACGCCTCGGAAGTGCCCTGTTCCCCTTGCAGTGAGGGAAGGAATAAAACCACCAAGATGGCGGCGGCGGCGGCGGCGGCGGGGCATATGGCTGAGGAGGGAGGCGGCGGCCACAGCGATGGCGGCTCCTCTTCGTCAGTGGGCTCTACCCAGAGACTTCCCCTTCAGCCCCCACCGCAGGCCCCGCAGCCGGGCTCCCAAGCGCCCCCCGCCCCGGCGCTGGCTCCGGACCAACTGCCGCAAAACAACACGCTGGTGGCGCTGCCCATCGTAGCCATCGAGAATATCCTCAGCTTTATGTCCTACGACGAAATTAGCCAGCTCCGCCTGGTGAGGCCCGCGGGACCCCGCCGCTGTCCGCCTGGCCGAGGTCTGGGGAGGGACGGCGACGGGCGCTTTCCCAGGGCGGCCGCTGGCGCGCGTGTCGACCCCGAGTCTCCGGACGCCCATCGGCGGCGCTGGCCCCGATTTCGCCGTTGCTTTGGGGGTGGGCACCGCGGGAGGGGTCCGCGGGCGGGGGGAGAGGGGCTTCCCCAGCGGCCGGCCTGCGCGCGGCCCAGAGGGGCTCGCCCGGCCTTTGTGTTCCACTTGCGGGCCCAGCCGGACGGGGGCGCCGGAGGAAGCAGCGGGACCCTGGGTTGTCCCCAGCATCCCCTGATGGACCAGAGAAGCGGGCGGCGGGTGCCCCCGACCCGGCGGAGATTATCGGGACCCAGGCCCCTGTGACCCGCCCCGCGGCCCCCACGCCGAAGCCTGTCCTCTGACGGGCATTCTCTCCTGCGGTTGGTTTTCTCAGGAGTTCAGTCGGTGATTTATAAAAATGAATTGGCCATTGGGGTTTTACTTCATTCCAGAGGTTTGACTGACGGCTGGCTGAACGTCTTAGTTCGGATATTTTGCTTCCTCTCAGTGAATTTAAGTGGTAAGGAAATTGACGGAGGTGGACATTTTGAAGAGGTCGCAAACCGATTCTGTGTAGCAGCTAAACCTGTTTCGGATTGTTTTTAAGAGGACAAAGACATATCTGAATGCTGTATATGGCAACTTCTTAATCAGTATGCCTTATTTTTGGTTTACTCCAGTTAAAATTGACCATAATGACATTTTTCTAAGGAAGTCATACTTATTTTTAAAGAAAGTTTATTAATTAAAACTGATGACCAACCTTTATCCTAGTCAGCACAGCAGTTCAACCTTGTCAGTCTGCAGGATGGAAAATTCTGTTGTTGAAAAGTGTTTTCACAATTGTCCCCGATTTTCTGAAACATGTCATTCTAGAATTTCACATAGAATCCTAAATATTCCTTCAGATTTTTATAAAGGATGGTGTTTCATCAAGATTCATGGTATACAGTCGTGGTGTCTGGAAACTGGGCATAACATTTGATTGAATTGTGCCTTTCAACCAGACAATGGCTTTGTGAAGCTTGGAGTGTTTACAGTTCTGTTATATAAGTGTTGAGGAAAACTAGTTTTTTTTATTCACTTGTTGTTTTACTTTTTTTTAAATTAGATTTTTAAATGGGGTAAAACCAGCCTGTCTTAGGGGGGACAGTTAAAACATTCCACGATTTATTAATAAATGACTAAATGACATCTCTTTTAAGTTAATATTCCATTGCATTCTTAATTTATAAGCAGTATTCTAGCCTTTAAAAGATACAAATTTGTAGTTTCAAAGATTTTTCATAGGAATCCCTTACCACACTTCTGTGCCCCCCACAAAGATTCTTCCACCAGTTTTACATCTCAAAGATGGTTTTTTCTCTACTTTAGAAATGGGAACTATTTCCTTATTTCTTTAAGGTTATGAATAATTTTTAGAAGATTAAATGGATACTCTTGTGAGGATCTGGAAGTATCTTTGGCTTTAGGTTCATTTATTTGGTGTCTTAAGGTACTGTTCAGTTAACATAGAAGAAAAACGTTCTTTCTTGCCACTAGATGTCAGCATTAATTTAGTTACGACCTTTTTATGAAATTGGAAGGCTAGAGAAAGTGCGGGTGGGTGCTTTACATGCGTTTTTTATTTAAGTGGCCATTTATATCTAAAGAATTGTTTGCCAAAAATTGAAGGGACCTTAGAATGTGTGCTGCTATCTGAAATTATGAATTACATGTTCCTTTTATTGGAAATATCTTTTTGAATGGAATTAAGGCTGAATATGCTTAGAAAGGATGATACTAAGGACAGAATTAGTTTCTATAGTGGCTGATGAGCTAGTTTATGCATCGTTCAGGTGTTTGGTTTTTTCTTGCTTCCCAGTTTTCTTGCCTTCTTAGGACCTCAGTCATAACCTTTGTTAACATCTAAAGTAGAAGACAAGTACACAACCCATGCACTTATTACCCTGTATTTTCTTGAAAAGATTTGCTGTTAGCCGAAATTGCTGGTGTTTTTCAAGTATTTGTGCAATTTAGTTGATTATAATATTTGCTTCCTCTTGCCACGAATAATTGAAATTTGACTGTCTAGTCCAGTTACTTCCAAGGGACTGTCCAAATGCCTTAAGTTGCCTTTTTACTTTTTCTGCCATTGACTTTTGCTCCAGAAACACACCCAGAGGTTGGAAATCCTGGTAACTCAGAAATAGTTCATTAACTATTTAACAACTCCCAATGTATTTTAAATTATTTGGCTTGAACACAACTTTTGAAATGACAAAACATGTACTTTGAGTTGTTTTTCCAGTAAGTCAGACAAATTTGTGCTGATGCAACATTAGACTATCATCTAGGTTCCCTTGATAGGTATGAGAATTTTTGAAACAAGTGGCAAAGGTTAAGAAGTAAGGCCCTACTCCTAGTTAGGGAGCAGATGAAAGCTAACTTTGAAAGTGTAACTTTGACTCGAGTGAGTACAAGGTTCTCACTCACCGAAAAATGAGTGTAGACGGGTTTTTTTTAAATGTTTTTGAAAAATTGTTACCAGTTTTTTTCCTGTGTGATGTGAGTGGAGCTTCTATAAATGTAATGTAATCCTATTAGTGGTTCAGGACTAAATTTGACTAAAGGTTAAATTCAGAAGTCCTGCTTATCTAGAATAAAGTGTTCCAATCAGTAACAAGAAACACAAGTACATGCTTTCATTCCACAGTATTTCTCTGAAGTACTGTAGTTAAATCTATTACCCATTCAGAGTTCCTTTCACATCTTTTCTTAAACTATATTAGAAAATTTCAGTTATTGGGAGGGTTGGTTAGTAGGAAAGATGAAGGATAATGAGAAACATTATTTTTAATAGGCAGGCTTTCTCATATTTCTTTGTACCAGTAGTTCTCAAGTTATTTGTCTAAGGAACATCATTAGACTCTTAAAAGTTATTGAGGACCTTAAGAGCTTAGAGAATTCCAGAAAACAAGAGTACATAGTACACTGTCAGAACAATAATGTCATCACATGTCATGTTGCCTCTGGAAAACTCCATTGTATGTTGTAAGAGAGAGTTACATGGCAAATAACATCTAACTGAGAATAGTTTGGCCTCGCAGACCCTCAGAAGAATGTTGGGGACTCCAAGAGTTCCTAGACCACACTTTGAGAACCACTTCTGTATTGCTATGTTACAGAAAATACACTCTATACTGCTGATTTTTGTTTTTTCCCCACCATCTCATAATCAGGTTATTGATTTTATTAACAGATACTTAAGTACAAGTAAGAGTATTTGGGGGAACATTGATTTTTCCAACAGATTCCATTGTCAAAGTGAAGAGGCTAAATCAGTAACTCTGTCTGCAATATGGTCAGTGAGATCAAATGTACCCAGTTTTCTTGAGCACACTTACAGAGCTACAGGATAACAAAGGCAGAGATAGTAAATTCAGGAGCGTTGATGTTAACCAGGAGGATTTAATCAGAAGAGGCTTCCTCAAGATAAATGGTTTTATTCGGTTAGTAAAGGTGGAAGAACATTCATAGCAGAAAAAGTGACATCGAATGTAATGAAATACTTGGGAGAAATGTGACTTAACCAGAGGGGTTGAGATTAAATTTGGATGTGTGATGTTTTATGTGTCCTAGACTAGTGGTCCTAATCCCCCTACCTTCTACCTTTTATTTCACAGACCAATCAATTTTAAGAAACTATTTTTGAGACCCTCCAGGGTTGACAACTTTTGGTGGGGGGAGCAAGCATGTTAAAAAAGCCCAGCAATTTCACCTCTTACCATCATCATTACCTCACAGAGACCAGTTAGGCCTGTGCCCCTTGGAGAGTAAGTAGTACAGATTCTTACAGTGCTGAGAAGGTGTGTCTTAAAGGGTGGCCTGTGCCTAATAAGACACTTTGTTTCATTGCATTATGGGCGCTTTTCACAAGTTGAAGGTTTGTGGCAACCCTGCATCTTGCAAATCTGCTGATGCCATTTTTCCAACAGCCTTTGCTCACTCCATGTCTCTCTGTCACATTTTGGCAATTCTCACACTTATTTCAAACTTTTTCATTGTTATTATATTGTTGTGGTGACCTGTGATCAGGGGTTACCACTTGCTGAAAGGTGATGGTTAACATGTTTTAGCAATAAAGTTTTTTTCATTTTTAATATTGAAGTACATACAATAAAATGCACAAATCTTAGTGTGTACAGCTTGATAGCAATAAAGTATTTTTAAATTAAGGTATGCACTTTTTTTTAGATATACTGTTGAACACTTAATAGACTACAGAATAGTAGGGTAAACATAACTTCAACATGCTCCAAGAAACAAAAAATTCACTTGACTCACTTTATTGCAATACTTGCTTTATTGCAGTGGTTGGGAACCAAACCTGCAAAATCTCTGAGGTAGGCTTGTAATTCCAGTTTCATGATTTTTGAGACTAGCCGTTCCTCCCAACCAACTATCAGCATCTTGCACTTAAGATAGATTAAAACAAGCATCAGGCTGTTCAGTTTCCCAGACATCTTAGGCCTCTTCAAACACAGGCTTTTCTTCTGCCTTTAGCCTATCTTTCATTTCCCTCTCCTAGAAAATACCTGGCCTTCAAGAGTCACCTCATGTGTTAGGACCTCAGTAAAGCCTTCAGTTCTTCTCTGAGCTCTATTCAGTAGCATTTCTAAGTTCCCATTTCAGCATTACTGTGCTTACATATTACATCTGAATTACCTTTGGAAGGGCCTGTTTCCCACTAAATTTAAGCCTCACATAGCCTTTAATCATGAATCCTGATGGCTCTAGATAAAATGTAAGTACTCAGTTTGGTTGAATAAATGAAATAGTTCTTAAAATACTTAACTGTCGTGAATAATCAGTAGAAAATATGTCACTGTGAAATGTTTTCTGTATAAATTATAATAGTATTGAAAACGCATTTCCTTAATGTTTAC